TTGCAGCAAACACAGTTTTAAATTACTTATTAAATAACTGAGAGTCCCTTGGTTTCCCTACCCAAGCAAGAGGCTTGGAGATCATCACTGCGCTTAGAGATGGAGACTGATGGAGACTGTCTTCATTCCTCGTCTGCTCTGTCTCCCAAAAATCCCCTCCTCTGTTGCCTGTTGGGTCCAAGCCGCTCAGGAAGAAGGGTGACGGGTACCCTGGAGGGATTACAGCCAAGCTGGAGAGATTGGTAGGGAAATGCTGTGCTTGCTTTCATGTCTCTGTAGTGAAGTAGGGATTATTACTCGCTTCTTCTCTTTCCCCTGCTGTGCTCAGACCGTACGTTGGGTGTTTGCCTACTTGCATCATGGTATTAGGTTTTACAACCCTCTATTAGCTTCCATTAGAGTTATTGTGCTTGATGGAAGATCAGAACAAATGTCTGCTTCAGCAATTCATTGGCCTCCTGACATTTACTTTAACTTTATTGTTGGTGCCTACCATGCCCTCGTAACGTAGCAGGAGAATAAACTTGCCAGCGCGATTGAATTATGCACTGCTACCTGGGTTATTTCTAGAGTCGGGCAGTAAAAGGAAGCAAAAAGGTCAGCTTTGGATACATTGCATCGTCCAGATCATGAGGTCACACATTCAGCCTCAGCCTGTTTGTTTTACCTCTTGCTTTCATCAGGACTGGCCTTTGTGCAGTGTGTGACTTGCCTAAAAATGGCTTTTCAGTTGTGGGTGCTTCCTGGGAGGAGAAGGCACCATGATGCTCAGCTTCCAGCTTCTGAAAGAGACCTTTTTTTGCAGCAGAATAGAAAGCATTGTGTCCCTCATGAACGCAGGAAAAGCCTCAAACTGTAAATCTGAAGCCACCCATGCTCATGTTGTCCTCCCGAGAAGCCCAGGTGATGTGGCCCCAAAGAGCAGATAACCCTGAGGGTTCAAAGGACCTTCATCAGGTCTCATAGATCTGCTGGGGTGCGTATGGCAGAGGGAGTGAGGTTTCGTGGAGGACATCACCACGTCATCGTGTCCAGGCCCAAGGGTGAGGTTGCAGTCTTGGTGACACCATGATGAAGTCCCCCACCCAGGTTGCTTGTGACAGTCTGTGCTCAGAGCGCTGTCATGTACTGGGTGCAGCAGGTGCCATGGTTGGCAGATTATTAAAAAGACCTTAAATGCAGTTTAAATTGTTTGGATGCTGTAGCTCCAAAACCACTTTTTTTGCTGTTCTCCAGCTCTTTTGTGCTGTATGGAGAGCAGCTATCCAACTCACTGTTGGATAACCAGTGTTTTTAACTAGTTAGTTATAGCCTTAGCTATCATCAGATAAAAGAAAAAAAAAAAAAAAACACAAAGTCGAATGGAGTGGGATGATGTTCTTCAAAAAAGAAGATGGTAGATATGCTCTGACTCTTCCCTATGAATGCACACGTGTATAATGAAACCTCTGCCAGGGAAAGATCATGGCGGGGAAGGCTTTGCAGGGTCAGGATTTAGCCCACAGCCCCTGTTTCAGCCTTGCCACCAAAATGCTGGGAGCTGGTGGTGCCCGATGAAACCTGGCAGATGTTTGTCCCTCCAGAAAATGGCAGCAGCTCCATGGCCTTTTCCAGCTGACCGGTCCATCTGGTTTGAAAAATCCCAGTTCAATCTTTCATACCATCTTTTTCTTTTTTATATCAGTCAGCCTCAGGCTGTAGGAAAACGTTTTTGCCTTTCTGACCGCTGGTGTTTCAGCACATTTGCTCCCTTCCCAGCCTCTTCCTTATTTCTTCTGAATTTTCCTCCCTAAATACTTCTTTTCTGCAATTTCTCTCATTTTGATTCTGCTGCCCTCTCCTGCAGTCGCTTCCCTCTGAGAAAGCAAGGGCTGAACCAGTGAGCGATGCTGCAGGAGGCTCATCGTTAGTCTTTCCAGACCAAGCTCCCTGCTCTCTTCCTCGGCATATACGAAGCAGGCAGGAATATGTGCCAGTATGCTCAAATGGAAGAGGGGAGCAAATTTTTTTTTTTTTTTTTTTTTGACAGAGCTAGAAAACTGTTTTTTGTGTTGGCATTTTTGGCAGGAAACGTTTTTTTCTCTCCTTTAGATTAGCATTCCAAGACCAGATTTAATCAATTTGTAAAAGACTGAAAATCACCCAAAACAATGAGAAATCCAATTTAGTTTGAACAGAATGTTTTCTTCTATTCCAGAATACTTTTTGGTTTTTAAATTTAATTTTTTCATAATCAAGATTAAAAAATGAAAAAAAAAATCTAGTCTCAAGTCAAAAGGAGATGTATTATTTTTAATTCCCTTTATTGTTCTTGGGACTTCCAGCTGAAAGCTCAGTTACTTGCACATTTTTTCCGTACTTCTTGCTTGCTTCTCAATGACTGCCTGACCCTTGAAGAACCTCGAAGGATTGTTCCTATGTGACTATGTTTGGATTAAAGAGTATTTTATGTTTTGAAAGAAATACTTCATGAGGAGTTCATCTTCCACACAGCAATAATTAAGGGGAAGCTGTAGAGATGTGCCTTATAGAAGGGAGTAAGTTGCTAATGTGTCCTCTTGGGCAGGAGTGGGCTTTGCTGAGCATTACATAGAATTAACCAAAAAAAGGAGTGAGTCCTGTTGTTATAAGGGACCAGACATATATCTTAGGCCTGGGATACTCAGCCAGCAGTTGGGACTGATAACAGAAGTTGGATTTGATGGGCCTGCATGGGAGATGCTTCAATTGCAGCAGAAAATGCTTAAAAGAATTGGGAAAATTAGCATTAACATATCGTATGGCCGTCATTTTGGGTGCCACTGGCATTAGAGGCACAGGCAGGATGGAAAGAGGGTCAGCACTGTTGTAGGGTCTTGTAGCTGCGTTTTCTGGGTGGACAATGAAGAGGGTTGGAAATGAGTGTCGGTGTTAGGAAGTAGCTTCATCACCTGTCAACCAGCCACGATGTCCCAAGGGAGTGGCACATCCCTGTGTTTTCAGGAAATCTGGGGGTGTGAAATGAGTTTGGGTAAATATTTTTATGTCCCAGGAGTTCACAGATTTTTGAGCTTTAATGTGCCTTTTCTCCAGCATTTCTTCAGTCGTTGCCTATTTTGAGGTGTTTATTTGGTCGCACTAGAATTCCTTGGATTTGCAGTTTTTAGGATCCATCCAAGATAAAAGTAAAAGGGTTTATTAGTGACCAGCCCACACTGTTTTTTTCAGACAGCTAGGAACAATGGCAACATGCTGTTGAAAGCAACAGGAGGCTTATTCCAGGGAAAGAAAACTCTTTGGTTTTGTCTTTGTGGCAGCTGAGGAATTTGCTATGAGCATGTCAACCTGCATAGGTGCATGGATGGAGAGAAAATGTACGCATCGAGTGTTGGGTAGCAGGTTTTTTCTAATGTACTTCTAAAAGACTCTTGCATTCCT